GTAGTTTCATGGCGTTGTTGCTTGGGAACATACTGGAACAAGGTCAGAGGTACCAGTTATGCTTTGCTTTTGGGAAGACAAGGTGTTACAGATCTGCTGGAGCAACAACTGTCACAAATAGTAAAGATCTGATCACACAGTTCTGTGGGCTCTATGAAGGCTTGCTCAAGATTTCTGTTAAGGTTTCCCTGGTGGTCTTGTTACATTTGACTGTTCTCTTGAGAAATTTCTATTTTATGAAGCTCCAAGTCATAAGTTTGCTGAACTGAATTATTAGAGACAGGTAATGGAAATACTTCATTAGCAATTATGTCAAACTTTTTGTTTTGTATTCCATCAATGTGAAAAGCAAGTTGAAATGTATGAACTGATGTTGCCTTTTGTCATATGTGGGCAGGGACTGCAAAACATTTATGATGTCTGTTAAAAATTTCTAGTCTAAATGGCATCACATTGACATGTGGCTATTACTTAGATGGGCGTTCTCTGTGCTCTTTATAAGTGCATTAACAATGCTGCAATCAGATTATCAGAACTCAGACTGTTTGCAAAGGATTTATTTACTAACTTCAGGCATTTTTTATCAAGGAATACTTAGGAGGGCTCACAGTTCTATAAAATTTTCAAAAGTCTGTTTTGCTGCAATTGACGTTCTTTGCCTTTTTGATAATAAGATCAGCAGGACTATTTGAGCATGGCTGTACTTATTTCAATAGATATTTGTCAAGATAACTTTCCTTGAGTTTTCAGAATGAGCTTTTTTGAGAACTGGAGCCCATGTAACAATTGAAGGCACTCAATCCTTCTCTCAAGTTTTCACTCCTGAAATTCTTAATGGTAATGCACCTTAACTACTGCTGAGGATTTAATCCTTTTTTTTCCAGTGGTGTTGATACTCCTTCCTTTGACTCTAAATTCGTTGCCTAAAATATCATAAAAAATTGCATGTTTTCTGAAAAAAGTTGTTTATTTTTTTTGAACAAAATATCTACAATGATACGGATGTTACCATAAATTTCACATTTTTAACACTTCTGTCTGCAGAGAATGTCAGCTTAAGTGCAATATGATACTGTAATACAACAAAAAGGAATCTAATTAAATCCATGCACGACACATTTATAGATTTTTACCAAAAAGGAAGTACTTTGAGATGAAATTGCCATCAGACAGAACTCACGGAGAATATTTTGAAAACTCACAGACAAGTTATTAATACACTATCATATAAATTTTTCTTTTTTCTTGCTGTAACCTTTAAAAAGCCAGGATCACTAACACACAAAATACTGTATATTATGTTAAACCTTTATGTCAAAAGCTTATGGTGCAATTTCTTTTTATACAACTCACAATTCCACATTCATGGAACATCAGTAGCTACTTTAGTCCATTTCATCTGTTAGTATCACTCTGTCATCCATTAAAATACAAACATAAGAAACGTTTCTTGCATATTTCACAAAGATGAAAGTGAAGAAGTGCAGTAATATTTGAGAATGTCAAGAATACAGGATGAGCCAACATTTTTTCTGGCATTAACCCACTGTTTCTAGCAATCTAACCTGCTTCCACAAGCCTTCCAAATTGATAGTACTTCAGTAATTACTGTAGGTGATGTGTGTTGCCTGAAGACACCTTTTCCATAACCACTCCAAAACAGAATACTCATTTTATTATTAACAAGTAGTCTGGTTTGTGAATTATATTTTTCTTCTTAGTTGTCTCAAAAAGGAAAAGAGCTGTGAAGGTCTGATATAATTGTCATCTAAATAGCCATATGATTGTGCAGTAAGATGTGGATAAAGTTATTTTATTATCTCACAGGCGTACTGTAAGCACTACGAGCTCATTTAGCAGTTTCACAGTTTAAGGCCAAATTCTTCTCTGTTGGATTAGATTAATTCCTATAATAGCTCAAATGAGAGCAGAAGTTACACAAAAGTACATCTTTTCCAGCCAACCATGTTAGCTTGGGCTGGAAATGGTATAAATAAATTTATTTCCATCTAATATAAAATTATTGCTACAAATAATACTTTTTTCTCCCCCTAAGGTTAAGGAAGACTTTCTATTTTTTACTACTGTTAAAAATATAAGGTTTTGTACAGTTTATTATATTCTATTTTTATCTACATTATCAGCCTACAGTTCTGTAAGGGCTTAATACAAAAAGTGGAAGCAATACCTTACTCCTTAAATGTAAAGTGCACATCTAAATCACCTAAATATGTCTGTCTAGTGAGCAAACAGAATCACCCCTCACACACTACAAATGATTCTTTAGAAAATAGCTGAATTCTAAACAGTAAAACACCTTAAAGCCTCCTATAGTTTGTCAGCATTATAGAGAAAAAAAGCCATTCCTCTAACCATGAGAGCGCATTGTGTTGGTATTTGAATATAATTTTAAAAATAAAATGCCTTTTGCTGTTTCGAATTTAAGCAGGAATTTGGTACTGTGGTAGTTCAGTAATTCTACTGCACCTCAAAGGGACCTTTCTTATCCTCTCTCAAAGTCCTGGAGTTTTTGGCATTATGAGGGGTGATACGGATTGGGCCACATCTCTTTTTAGTAGAGGAAGAAAAGACAGTCATATGAGAGGTTCCAGGCTCTGCTTTGGGCTTCTCTCTTCCTGTGGCCCCTGTTATGCTATGCACAGCCCACACTTTTCATCCTGTACCTTCCTGTTTTGCTTCTCTTTACATTAGGAAAGCGGATGGTGAGGAAGTCAATCTGCACAGGTAGAAACTGCTCTCAGAAAACAATATATACTTCGTAGCAGTTGATATAAACTGTTTCTCCCTGCAGCTACTGCTCCTGCCTGAACAGTTGTGCCTATGGCAAGGATACTGTGAGACTGGGAAAAATAATGATGTCTCATCCTTTCTTTTTTTCCTTTGTAGTGACTGTGCCAGTTCTTTAGTAGCTGTGTTATTGGGGTATTCCTCCAGATCCTATGGTGCCTCCCTCTCTTTTCATTGTGTTCCAATGTCCTTCTAGTACCAGTATTTTATTTTGAAAGTACAGGGCTGGCCTACAGAGACCACAAAAACATGACCTGAGAACTACAGAGTCTGCACCTATGGTGAATAATGACTTTGGACAAAGCTGTGTTAGCCTGTCATACAGGGGTTGTGCTTAAAAGGAACCTTGTTGTTTGCTAAGGACTTGTACTCAGGCCTGGTCCAGTGATAGTGAAATGAGGTGGCTATCTACTTCAGCCTAATTAATGGATTCTTATTTATATGTGGATGGACGCCTGCTAGATACCATCTGCCTCAAGCATTATTTCCTTGATAATTATTTTTCTGCTTCTCCAATGTCTCTTTCACGGGACTGTAGCACAAACACTGCAGTCTGACAAATACCGCAGAGTACCTTTCAATTCTTGCATCTTCTTAATAGTATTCTCTGCTGCTTCACTATAAAGTTACAAAAGAATCAACTCCCACACTAATCTTAGCTGATGTCTGTAGCTATTGATTCTAGCTTTGTAAAGAGGGCTGGTATGCCAGCTGGCAGTTTTGGACTTTTCCCCTAGTCAGTGGTGAAGAGCAGGCATTTGTGCCTTGAAGTTTCTTATCATCTCAAATGACATTTCTCTCTTTCTTTACCATGTGCCTTTAAGTCATTTAGGAATAATCTAAATGAAAATTGAATTTTAAGTTATTATTTCTTTTGAAAAACACATTATTAGTGGACTGCAGAGGCCTCTGTTACCTTGGCAAAAGTAACAGAAAAAAACCAACTCATAAAACCAGTTCAGGAGAGATCTTGGTTTCATTATATCAAAATAGAACATCTTTACTCACCTGAGGGCAGCAGAATGATATGCCAAAAGTTATGTGCATTTGAAAACAGCCCTTAAACAAAATACTGTTGACTTTGCTGCTAACAGAAGCAAATTAACATCCCTTTTCATACAATACAGTTAATGACATCTTTGAGAGAGGTGAATATAACTCAACTGAAATATCAACCATTATTTCATGATACCTCCTCACACAGAGGAGCACCTTCATAAGTGAACATGATATTTTGGAACATGCACATAAATAGATCAACAAAAAGCAGACACCATCTTAACAAGAAAAAAAAATATTTTAAGTAAATTGAATTAATTTTAGATCATAAATGAAGTAAAACTATAAAAGAATAATAGTTTTAAAATAAAGGCAGATTATACACCTTCTTTCTGACACAGTTTAACAAAATCTCAGAGCTACTATTTTAGAATCTCTCTAAGTAATCCTTGGAGAAGAACAATAACAAACCAAAGCCAAGGTTGCTATATTACTCAGTGCAGAGTTACATTGCTACTGCTTCTTCGTATGCACCATGCCTTTGGCAGTGCACCAGATGTTTGTTTCCAGCTGATTTTGCTTTTGTATACACATTCTGATCAACAACAAACCAAAAATTTTAAACCTGTTCAAAATAAAAATATTTTGCAATGAGAATCAGCCTCAGCTACTGGACTTAGAGTATCTAATAATTCTAAATGATGCATTTTCATATCTTAGTATAGTTTTGTTTTCCAATAGACAAGATTGATCTATGGTGTTACAATTCAAAGAAGTAACTAAAATGACTTATTTAAACCTAAACAGGGAAGATTTTTCTAAGAGTTTTAATGGTTGGTCTCCTATTTATTAATGTGAAATACAGTAAATGTAAAAGACCATCCAGATCCTTTTTTATGTTTTAGATGAGCTTCATGTTTCTCCAAAGTTGTGAAGTGCTTCTTAAGCAATATCTAAGTTATATCAATAAACTTCAAAACATGAGTCAGAAAACTTGATATATTCATAAATTAAGCTTCCTATATTTATGTAACATGTAGGAGATGAATGTGCGTAAACATAACTGTGTTCATCCTCCAAATGCTTCAGTGGAGTTCACTATTTGCTTTCAGTTTTGCTCCAAAATCTCTTTGCATTGAATCAAAGTGACGTATTGCAAAATTTTGATGTAGTTTGTCTATTTCACTAGCTGTATGAGTTTTATGAATTGAGGAAAAAAAACCTTAAAATATGAAAAATATTAAAAAATATGTTTCAATTATCAAAGTGTAAGTAATTAAAAGGAAAAAAAATCCTTTGCAGGAGTCAATACCTTACAAATTTTAATATATTTCTCATGTGATAGGCAGACTATTAGGCTGTATACTTTGTGCTGTCAGAGACTATTTCAACAAACAGGGGAACAGTAATATAAATACATTTAGTAAATTATATGACTTAAATATGTCAAATATATTAATTGCAAAACGACCAGTACTGTCCTTAAGACTAGATCAAGTCCTTTAAATTGTTTTCTCCAATCAGTAATTTGTCATTATATTGTAAAATTGAAATCAATGTTACAAACACTAATCTATTCTGCAATACTGTGAGATTTACCTAGGGTACTCAGGAACCATTTTTAAAATTAAAATACATCAGAATTAAAAAAAAAATTAAGGATCATCAGAGAGTACTGTACAGTTATACCACTGTGTAACAGTATGTATCAATACTTGGCAGTAAAGGTTCAGTAGAGAGTGATTTACAATGAAAAATTTGTTAATATTTAGCTTTACAAGGAAAGTTTGCAATAGCAGGTGTATCTTTTCTGGGTGTCATTCTTCCATCCTGGTCATTGCAGTCCACGCAGGATCTTTTTTCACCACCTCAGTGTTTTTAACTCTTCCAGTCACTCCTCTGATGTGCATTTCTAAAAAAAAGCTTCTGGTCGAGTGTGACAGCCAGATCTTTATGTACTGCAAGCCTTAGTCTTGTTATTGGTGAATGTCCTCATGCCTGATGATTTTGTAAATTACCCAATAAAAAATGTTGAAAATCAGAAAGGCTAACGGGAAACAAGCTCTGGATATTGTGTCTATTTTCTTGGCCCGGTCAATGAATACCTTTCTCATCTCATCAGGGCTTTTTGGTACAGCTTGAACAGGATTATTTGGCCCCTTTTGTGTCATTCCATCTTTTGCTTGCACGCATGGGCCCACTCCATATGCTGTAAAGCTAAACTGACTTTCACGTGCATCATCATCCTGTTGGACAAAAAAAAAAAGAAAAAAAAAAGAATATAAAGAAAACGAGCAAGAAGGTTTTTTTTTTAATTACTATTATTTACACAAATCTTACCTGCTGCTAAATAACAGTTGCACCATTACCTCAATGACTTCTTGAATCCACAGTTTATTTTAACTGGTTGAAATTTCATCCCTATCAATGTCTGTCAAAAATATTGTAGGAGTTTGAACAAGCACAGAATTTTTCTATTTGTTTATAGATTCTGTAATCTACTCAGAGAAATGAGAAAGCTTAGTAAACTAACAGTAATTTAGCACACAATTTCTGATTTGGTTTAAGTTTCCCCATTTACAGTAAATATCCACAGTCTTCAAATGGAAAAACTTCACAATGGTCTTTTAGACAACACCCATTAAACCTGTACACTGCTTAACAAACCAGGATCCTGGCCTCTAGATATCTAGAGATACTTATCATAAAATCAATAATATTTTGCACATTATTTACATTAGTGAGAATTCTGCATATTTGGCCATTGTATATTTAGTTAATTGTATCTGTATGCCTTATTTCTGCTGATCTGTGTGAATGCATCAGATAAAGAGAATGGCATGTAAAGTGTCTTAGTTTAAAATACAAATGAATGAAAACTAAAGGCCAGATTTTTCTTCCAACTCATTCTTCTGTCAATTCAGGGGAAAATTGGCAAAGATATTCAGAATTCAGGAAACTTTAAGAGAAAGTGATTTTTAATTACATGGCACAGAAACAAAAGTACATGGTCTGAAGACAGACATATTTTCATATTTCATATTTACACTATTCATACCTACAATATTAATTTACATTTACAATATTCATACATTAAAAAATGTTGCTTGTGTCTGGAGACATATTTTTTACTTCTCTTTATCTAGTTATAAGTATCCTCAAGCAGTAAAAGAGGCACATATGCAGGCAAATAAATGATATATAGTCTGTGAAGCCAGAGCCAAATTTGGTTCTGAAACATATTCCAGTATACTCTTTCACTATGTAGGTGCCTCAAGGATAGTCACATGATTTTGATGGCATTCACCATTTTTTCAATAATTTTAAATTAAAGAATGTCTATTTTTCGTGCCTAATTTATCCTAGTTGCTTTAGGATTTTAGACTTTCGTGAAGTATATAAATTATTATGTATACGTTAGTTCTTACATAATTATTTTGAAAAATAATTCACATAAGTATTATAAAAGGAGGTGAGCAGCAATTTTCCTTTTGTAAGCGAATTTTTGATATTTTTAAGCACTTCCTACATAAAAAAGTATTTATTTATTTATGTGCCAAAGTCAAATAATTAGAGTTTCAATTCAATAGTTCTGAAGCAATTTTTTTTTACTTTAACCTCTTAGTTTATACAAATAGAATTTCTCAAAGAGCTCAGTTAAATCCAAGCTTCCAAACTTTTCATTCTGAAACTGCCTGTGACATTTGGTAAATCTGAAAATATTTTTCAATGGAGAATTAATTCTAAAAATATTTAAAACTTCCATCAATAGTACTTACTTGGAGAACCATTTTTAATTACTATTTTTAAAAAAAATCCAGTGAGGATTCTTAACAGTTGAATAAGTTAGCTACAAAAGAATGCAGATAAATCACTAAGTTTGAAGTGAATTATTTGGCCATCAGCATGACCATCCAGCAGAGATGTAGTTATCCCCCAACTGCAATACTTTTTCATATATGTAAACTAAATAAACGAAGAGAGTAATATAGTTCACTGAAACTACTGTACTTCAAATTTGTATTAGATTTTGCCTTTAAAAACACAAAAATAAAAAATTAACATGAAAGAAAAGGAGGAGGAAAAATCACTGACTTATTTTACTATGGAAATGAATAACAGAAATACAAAATGATAGGATCATTATTTGATGACGTGATAAAACAGAGATTTAATTACTACAATAGTGTTCCTCTCCTGTCAGAAAAGAATGGGAAATAACATCTTTAGAGCAGTTGCATTCCAGAGGAGTTGTAGTGTTGTATTTCAGCTAACAGAAGTATTAAGTTACAAATGCGTGGACTTTGAGAATTTACCATAAACTTGCCATTTAAACACTGTCATATGTGCATTTCAGAGTTTTGTCTTTTCATGCTTCTCCAGAAAATAATGCTTATAATTGCACAGACTGAGAAAGACAGTAAAATAATTCCTGAGTAGCAGCTTTCAGTTATACATGTTTTCAGGATGAGGCACTAAAACTTTACTGTCTCTGTTTTAGGCTTACCTGAATGGAATGATCCCCTAGAATGTTTTCAAGGACAGATCTCTCATTTTTTTTTTTATGCTTGCAGACATCCTGTATTCAGTCTGCCAGCAGGCTGCTTGGAAATGCCCTCTGTTGTTGAGGAAGTGATGTGAAGGTCCTTCTAGGAGTCCAGCATTTTTGCCCATTGTCTGTTGGATGGTGTCTCCATGAGGTCAGGCAGGATGTTTGGAGCCTGCCAAGTCAGATCAAAGCGCTAGGGCTAATGGATAAGCAGGAATTGCCACCATAGTTCTTTTCTAGGGTAGCAACTGGATTATTCAAAATGTGGTTCTGCAAGTTTCCAGCAGGTTCGTAATGCAGCAAAATCACTAACTTGGCCTCAGATTCGTATGAGGGTGCTTGTGCACAGCAGGAAAGATGCATTTACTGTTATTATTTATGTTAACTTTTGAGTACTTTTTCAAAGGCATTTATGTCAGTGACATGCCATTTTTTTTTATTGTTGATTGGTTTGGTTAAAGTCTGTCTTTTTGACTAGAAATATTTCTCAGAATGCATGCCTCTGAGTCTGTCACTGTAGAAATCATCTAAAAGACTGTCATGGTATACATGGTATACCCTGTATACTCCAGCTGATAATCTGGACAGTGAATTCCCCTGAAAAAGTCCTCCATATTGGTTAGATTATTTGAATTTTGTAAATAATAAGGAAGCTTTTATTTCCCTTTGTGTATTTTAGTGGATCATCACCAAAGAAAGTGATTTCTCATAGATTTTTGATAAAACTTAAAAAATCCTATCATGAATGAATTTTAGTAAGAGTTTGATTTGAATGCACTTGTCACATGTTCAGCTCTAAAATTCACAACTGGAAAGTTATTCCGCATACAGCTAGATATAAATATTTTATCATCTCTATTAAAATTACTGTAATTTAAGAGTGCAAGTAAATTTAGATAACAATTTTCATTTAGAAAGTTAGAATTCTTTGAAGATCTGAAGGAAGTAATTTCAATTAGGTTACTTCTGTATCAGTGCTGTTCTACAAAATACTTAAGTATAAATTAATAGAAAACTGTCACTGTCTGTGGTCTTGTCACCACGCTGTTTTCCATCCATATATTTAATAATACATTTATCTTGAGAAATAATATATATAAGGGCTGAAAATAACTCCACAGCCTATTGATTATAGGTTGTGGTAGCAACTTGAAAGCTTATTTGAAGCCTTGGCTCTGGTAATTTGAACACTACCTTTTTTACTGTTTTTGAGAAGGAAAGTGTTAATGAATTGTCTTGCACTACAAGCTGCAAAATTTTAATACTATGTTTTAATCCAGATTTAAACAGATCAAAATGGATTATGAAATTACCAAGACAGTACCTTTATTAACATTTCACGTCATCACATACAGGTAGCAATGAAGGTATATGAAGTTCACATGGGAAGACATTATTTCAGACAAAAGGACAGGGCCTCTATTAATGATTGGATATCACATTATGACAAATGGGAAATCTTCTTCATAGTTTACCCTTAAATTTGTACTGTAGATTTGAGGCAAAGTCCCGTCTATAGGTCCTGTACATCTCAAGCCATTGCTATGCTGTAATGATTCACTGATTTCATTTCCATCAAGAATTCCCTCAAAATACTTTCATCAAAACGGATGGGTTGACCAAAAAGAAAACAAAAGAAAAGAGGTGTGATTACCATTACAGACAATCTAGTTTGCATGTCTATTTTCCTCTCTAAAGATGTGGTGATCTTTAGATTTTTGAAAATAGGGTTAAAAGATTGAATAGTCCTGAAAACTAAATACATATTAACAGCTGATCTAAAATAAAAGTGTTATTATTCAGTATATATACAGAGTTAATATTTTTCCCCATAGAATGTAAATGCAACTAAGAAAAAGCACTGATCATAGGTGTGTTCCAGTATCCCTGTATGACTTCTAATTCTGACATTTTTTTCCTTTTTCTTTCAAGACGGAAAGGAGTGTAACTGTAAATGAATAATTAATATTCATTCATTCTGAAGGAATGGTAATATAGTGTTTCTGAAATAATTCTGTTCACTAGACAGGTTTTTTCTCTGTCAGAGACAAAGCACTATGGTTCATATACTGAATAACAAATGAGGTCTCAAATTGAGAACCAAAATTCCCCTGTTCTCAGGATTCATTATGCCATTTTTGCAATCATAAAGGTATTAGACCCTTTAAAAAAATCTCCTATGCCTATTGTGATGCTCATTGGCAAATGCAATGAGTAGGTTGTATATTATGTTGCAATAATAGTTTTTATTTATAAATGTATTTATAACACAATCCCAGACACTTCAAAATTTTTGTTAATTCTGTGCAAACTGGATTGGACCTCTGGAAAGAAATTTGCCATTTAGTTATCTGGAATCATTGAATGAGGTCCATACTTACAATCATAAAAAGTGTGGCCAGAGGGTGCTGTTATACCTAAGAACTGCCTTTGATGGTGCTGTAACTGTTGTCTGGGAAGGGAGGCGGCAAATGAACTAGATGGTGTAAAAAAGAGGAAGTGACTATAGTTGGAAAAAGCATTAGAAAAATGGCAAGGATAGATGAGCTTTGTATCCCAAAATATCTTATTACAGCTCTGTACACAATTGCAATTTGTATAACCGTATATTTCACTGCAAGGGTCTTGTCCAAGTTCCATCATATGCTTTTTAAGAGAGAGATTCCAGTTCCTTTGTGTTTTCAACCAGCAATGAGAAGGAATAACCCATACTTTTAATTAAATTTACAAAATATTCCAACCTATGAAAACCTTCAAATTTGTTTGAGGATATGCTTAGAGTTAGAATTGAATTCAATGATTTGAACAAAGCATCTGAAAAATACAGAAGCAGAGACAGTAGATGCAAATACAAGGTACTACATTTAGCCAGAAATGATCAACTTTGCAAGCATAAGATGGAAACCCAATGGCTCTGCAGTAGTTCTGGAAAAAGACCCAGAAGATATGGAAAGTCACAGTCCTGATATGGGTCAATAACACGATGTTTTTTAGAAGACAAATGGTAAAACAATTTGGATAAACAAGTGTATAATTTGAATCATTTGATCCTTTGGCTGTTTTTAACTGTTACTGGGTAGATTTCATGTTGTTCATGTTGCAAACACAGTTTTGAGGAAGTATATGGACTTATTAGGAGAATTTCCAGGGAAGGCAAATGAGAAAAAACAAACTTAAAAAAAACCAAAACAACCAAACCCCCAAACCAGACCCCAAAACTGTACCAACTGGGAATACTTAAAGAAAAGATTGAATGGAAATGTGCAAATGGTGACATAAAGGAAAGAAGTAATCTGTTTTCTGTGCCCCTCCTAAACAAACCATGAGAGGTCAAAAAAAGTAGTAGTAAAAAACTTTTTAAACAATTGGAATAGATTTAAGGGGAGCTTGTGGAATTTTTATGACTGAGGTGAATTAGGTATAAATGATCTTGACTTTAGTCAGGAAAATGGATCCACTGACCTCCCAAAGGCACTGAAATTCAAACATTGCACTATTGTTTCGGTTACTTGGTAAAAGTAAATATTTTTTGCAACAAGCATATTTTTCTAATTACAAAGAAAATAGACTTTGAAAATTCTTCAGTTGCCTTACTGCAATTAGATATTATTCATAAATATTCTCTTCTGTCAACACATATCTAGAACAAAATATTTCCAAACTCATCTATTTTTTTACTTTTGCAACACAGTCGAATCACTATAAGTTTTGCTGTGCCATTGCAGATAAAATGCCAATGCCAAAAAAAAATAAATCTGTACTTAACAGTAAGAATTCACCTGGTAGAAAAACCCGACATTAGTAAAGTGTTCCAAGAATGGAAGCATGAAGAATGTAAAAGTCTAATAAGTTATCCTAATGGATATATTTCTCTAATAGTTTTGGACATAAATACTGAATAGAATAGTGTTTTTCACTTTGCAAAGGAAGAGGATGTAATGTTCAAGGGAGCCTCTGGAGTTTATTTTAAATGCAGCCTTTTAAAATAACTTCTTTTCACCTTTTTTGACTTTGTGGCAAAATAAACATTTCTTTATACAATTTTAAAAGCTAATGCAATCGAATTCTTGACAGCTAGCGTCTGTTTGACCTAGTCCAATAGCATAACAAACATACAAAACTTTATAATCATGAGCTGTAGTAGCCAACTTTGAAAAAGACAAAAGAGAAAGAAAAAACAGGTTACTTTGACTTATGATCCTGGGGACTACATTTCATGTTAGAAATTGTGGTGAATAAATAATAATATTTGTGGTAAGGAAAGCTAGTTTTTTACTGAATTTTTTAATCTGTAAAACTTTATTATTTGTATACCAGAGGGTTTAGGATGTGATCCAAATTTTTGGAGGAAATAAAATCTCCATGCTGTAATGTTTCCAATCCTGTATACTTGTTGGCAAGGAATGGTTTAATAAAACATTGAGAAAGAGAGAATCAGTTAGCTGAGCTGTCTCTAAAGCTTGAGAAGGTGTATTCTCAGAGGTTAACTCTGACCAGGAGCTCTAGCTCTACCTGGGTTGGAAGTGAGTCAGGAAACATTTAGTTAAATTAATATTTTCTGAAAAATTACTGTTTCTCTAAAATCATAACCTTGCATAGGAAGAAAGTATTTTTTGGTGAATTTATACTGAGAAGCCTGTCTCATGATGAAGCTTACAGATACAGGAGGAAGGGAAAGCCATATACCCCCAAAAATATTTAATACCCTCACCTGGGTTTGTTATGAAGAAAAGCATTGAAGTGCATGTCTCCATCCTTCAGAATCTAAGGGGAGTACTTTAGTACATACCCTGAAGTCTCTAGGCTTAATCCTGTGATTTTATGACAACCTAGGAGGCAACCTACCTGAAGATAAACACTGTCAACTGAAGTGTAAAATTAGAATAAGGACTTCTAAGCTTGAATTCAAAAATACCGTGATGTCAAGCACTAATCCAGCAAAACACTTAAATCAGTGAGGTTATTCATGTGCATATTTTTTTTAAGAGGTCTTCTTTTAGCATTATTTTGTATATCGTGGATCCTCCCTTACATACCTCTAAGTTGAAATTTCATTGATTGTGATTGCTGAATAAGTGTCTTTGGTGAGTTTGAAGTCTTGCTAAGAGAGAGCTGGAAAGAGATTTGGTTTGATTCCAAGGAAGGAAGATATCACCTACCAGTTTCTAACCCTATGCTCATAATAACTGACCTGTATTTAAGAAAGATGTCATTAAAGTTGAATGTGGTGAATTTGCTTGAGATCCAGAAGAAACTTTCTCAACATGGTAAGAAAGATGAATGGACTAAAGGTACAGTGACATAATATATCACTCACCACAGCTGTTTGTATTTGATACACCATGCATTTGTTGGGGCTCACCTACATCTGTCCAGTAATCTGTGTCTGCCTCATCCCATTCTTCCCATTCCAAACATTTAAGCAGCTTTCAGAGAGCTGCCATGTTTCAGAAACACTCTGTCACAAAAATTCTATTTTTTCTGCTACTGTCAGGGAGAAGAACAAAGCCCATTCTTCACCGGGATGAATGTTGAAAGCAGGTACATGCAGTCTGAATCATCATCTAGGCTACAGTAGATGAGTTTCTCTGTGCAGCTTAAGAAATCTGGGACTCAATACACAAGGGCAGGCAAACGTGTGAAAATGTCATTTTCATTTAACTGTCCAGCCTGCCTCTTAACACAGAGTCTTACTAGCAGAGACTGCTTAGGTAGGTTTTACAGCAGTGCAGATTTGCAATATCTTTTAAGTAAGAGCAAAACAACATATAAAATGTCTTCTCTTTGCATGTAAGCAGTAAACATGAGGTAAGTCTTCAGGAATGAAAGACAACAGAACAGAATCATGTTGCTTTGATCAGACTTCCATTCACTAGTAATATTCTAGATAGTAACTAAAAACCTGTGGAAAGGTGGGTACTCATTTAATGGATAGGCTGGAGAACTATTTACTCTTCATGAAATCAGAAGTAGGAATTATATACTGCCGTAAGAAATTTTCATTATTACTTGATTTAACTACAGGCTTCAGAGTTCAAACTTGCCTTAGCTGTTTGACTTTACACACTGGTAGTGAGTTATTTTATTGTAGTCTATATATCTCCAGCTATAAAATAAATATTAATAGCCATTACTATATTAAAGTTTTTTACTATTTGTATGAACAATTTACACTGAATTAGCAGGACAGAAGAAAAAAACACACATTTATCAGCCTTTTAAATTAAAATGTTTATTCTTTACCAATAATGTTAATTGAAAAAGTATTTCTTGTATTAAAAAATATTTGCATGAAACGCAGCTGTTAAGGCTTTGAATTGAGTACTAGAATTAAATTAGGAAACATTATTTGTTGAATCTCAATGTAGTACAAACTGCTGCAAATACCAGCAATATTCATTCACTGGAGAATAATCTAACTCCTCTAACAGAGTGAAATTCATGTTTGTGCAGATGGCTCCTACATGCTCCACGCCTCATTTAAATCCCTCTTAATCCCTCCTTCGGGAATTCAAGTTGGATTTATACAGTTTACAGTCTTTGTAGCTACCCTCTGCCTATAGTGAATTTTATGCTGTGATGTCATTTTATTTATATTGCCAATTTAAACTGTAGCATGTTTACCAAATTAACCCTATATCCTGGCATAATTCAGTCAGGTTCTCTTTCAAAGCTGTGAATACCATTACTTTTACCTTGCTCTTCTTCCTTTTGCGGCGGAAGCGCAGAAGTTCTTTATGCTGCCTTGACACAAAGTTTACAGCTGCATACTCCAAAAGTGCAGAAAATACGAAGAGCAGACACACTGCCATCCAGATGTCAATGGCTTTGACATATGACACCTATGGAGATAGTAGAAGACCGAATATGTCAAAGCTACAGATGTGAAATTAAGTATTTCATGTCAGCAGGAAGTGCATTAATACCTCCACATCCCCACACTACTGTTATGAAACAAAACTTAACATGAAATTACATAATAAGAGGAATAAAAATTCAATCTATAAATTGTTATTTTTTTAAAATTTACTCTTTTACAAAGTGTGTTTAAATCATTAACAGTTCCTTATAGTATACTGTATCACAAACATCTCAAACCAAATAATCCACAAGAAACGCACACTCTTCCTCCATTTCTCTCACTGAGATCTGTGAATGACACTAAAGAATCAAAGAATAGCTTATGGTAGGACCAGTCGGAATTCCTGTATTAAAATGGATACAACTGAAAATTCCTGCAATAAAATTAGGTAGAAGAAGGACATAGGTGGAGAACTCTGATATGTTCATTCATTGCTAATATAGTTGCAGTAAATCAAATATATAGTTTTAAATGAGTCCGGTAATTTTGACACAGTGAAAGTCCTGAGAATCAGACACAGAATAGAGCTCATTGCAATCCCATATGGCCAAGCTCAGATGCAGGACATAATCTGAACCAAGAAAGTAAGGCCTGCTCTCTCTTTGTGCGCAGATTTACAAGAGCTTTTTAATATAAGCAAATATAGCTAGCTTCAGGCCTCAAAATCTGACAAAAACCATATATAGCTCTCTGTTAATCTCTTACATTGTTGATGCTACATTTGGATGCATTCAGATCCATATATCTAAGACACAGAGCATGCTCAGTTGTCTTAGGGCTATGGATTTTACTTAGAAAAAATGCAATTAGGCAACCTAAAAATATTATGGTAAAACTAACACAGAATGGGACTTTGTGTATTTTTATTGTATACATTTTATTTTTATTAATTGCAATGACACATGAAGAAGGTCAAGGAATAAGCCTTAAAATGAAACAGAAAATATTCAAAGTAATTATAATTCAGAAAACTGAATAATTAATAATAGAATAATTAATAATAGAAATAAATTTTAAGTGCTTTACATTGTGTTGTAAATGTTTTTTACACAATTGTTTGGAGCTGTTTAGGTTCACATTTTTCTACATTTTAATGTAACTGTGTTTGTAATTCATAATGTTGGCAGTTTTTGAGAAAGGAATATAATTGAGAACAGGTTAGGATCTGTGGCCTTTAGAATTTCAGTTGTAACTGCTAGTATGTCATCAGATACTGGGATGTGAAAAAGAATGAGCCAGTCAATTACTAAACAGTATTTATGTAGTATTGAATAACATTGTTTTCATTTCTTGTTAAGGTTCATGGAATTTAGTAGATTGGGTAAATGGTTGAGATGGGAGAAATAGAATGTATTTGTCCTGGAGAATCAAAAACCCCCCTAAATAGTTCAAAATTATTTATCTCCTTTAGAAAATGGTTGAATGCTAATAATCAAAACACATAAGGTTGATTGAAAGTGTTTGTCACATAACATTATAACTAATGTAGTACAAACAAACGAAATTTCACCTACCTTTGGAAGAGATGCTCGTGAACCTGAGCTTTGTGTTGTCATGGTCAGCACAGTTGTTATGCCTAAAGCCACTCTGGCTGGAGCTGCATCCATATTGATCCAAAATGACACCCAGGAGAGAATCACAATCAATAGACTTGGTATGTACATCTGGATGAGATAGTAACCCATCTGTCTCTCAAGGTGAAATCGGACTTCAATACATGTAAACTTTCCTTTTTATAACAAAGAAGAAACATTCAATAGAAATAGAATGTTTTTTACTGTCAACATCTAGTCCACATTCAAAAGAATGTATGCTCTGTCAAATATATTTGTTCACAAATGAAAGATTAATGTTTGGATTTCTCTTTTTAATATGCACAGTCTCCATTATAATAGGGTATCTACTGGAAAGAAAAGGGACAGGAAACCTGAAAAATTAACAATTCGAGAACCTCTGAAACTTGTTTCCATATAAAAACTGAATCACAATGCATTAGGACAACAAGAAGTTTCCTGTGGGTGATCACAGTTTTTTGCCATTTATGATTTGTAGATACATCTGTGTGCAAAGAAAGTGCTTACTCCTCCATTGCATAACATCTCTCTTATATTTTCATTCAATTTTAAACTTAATTTTATTTTTTTTAGTCTAAAAAAATTGCTAAAAATATAGGGAGATCAGTATGGGCATTAGGTTATCAATAGGAGAGTCTGCTGTCTCTCCCTTTATTCCCATTCAAACTGTTCCAGCTCATAAGTACAATGACCAAGATTCAAACAGAAATTGAAGACTTAGTATTAGGCAACTTTAGGAAGGTACTTAAATTACCTAGTTTTACCCAGATACTGAACATCAAGGAACTTTTACTGATTTAACCAAAGCACAACAAAAAGAAAACTATTGCTGGCTCACAAAAATACCATAAACCCATTTTTTAATATTATCCAGATTGCTTTTTTTTGTTTGTTTTTTTTTGGCTTGTTTTACTTTTTTTTTTCATCCTGTAAACTGTAGATTATATCACAGATCTTGACCTGGTCGCATTAGATTTTCTAATTCTGCTCAATGTTCATATTAGTCACATATGAATGGTGCTGAGGCAATGCTCTAACTGTAAGTGGTGTATACATTAAACCATTTCTTAGAGTAAGAAATTACATAACTCAGTTTTCTTCCTTATTTTGAATGAAAGCTATTTCTAATTCTAAGTTTAACATGGAAAGCTGTACGGTTATTTATTTATTAAGTGATATGAAGTTTTTTGGTTATGTTTTCCAGTACTTTGATAGCTATTTTACCAATCAATTTTTATTTGCAAAATGCCATTTTATACCAAATTGTTTCTCATTAATAGTTATTTGATATTTATCATATTAAAATTATATTTGTAATGGACTTATTTATGAGCTTATCCTATACTATTATATTGTGTATTATGCTGTGGCAATAGTATTAGGTATACAGAAATGAACTTCAGATAAAGTCAAACTGAAATATTTTTATTCAAGGCATATTAAGTGATTGTAAATGCTTTCTGAACTTGATTATTTTCATAACAATTCTCTTAAGAGGCCATTAGTTCTCTCTGTGACGACATAATCAAGGTAATTTTATGACATTTTTATTCTACTGAGGCACTAAAAAAAATTTAAAAAGACATTTTTATGATGTTCAATTTTAAAATTACCTTCTGTATCTCAGGAGTTTTATATCTGCAAGCTCAATTATTAGTTCCATTCCTAATTGTCAGCATTTTCTGAATCCTGTCTACACTCCTGAAATCTGTGTCCCAAATCCTGGCTCAGCCATCTGCTGCCCTAGCTTTGAGACTGATTTCTGCTTCAATCATGAGACGAAATCTTAGTTTAACAAAGTGAATGGGAATTTTGGTGTTTACTGCGGAAAAGGCCAGGATTTCCCCCTTCTCTTCCAAGGTCTTCAAAAGAATACCTAAACAATATATTCTTTCTCCTAGCTGGTCAGTACACCCCATGTAACTAGAAGTTCTGCACAGGCTGGCCTTTGTTGAAATCATATTCTTACTTCAAACTGGTTCTTACCCTGAAGTTTTCTTTTTTTGTGACATTCATTCTGTTAATTCAGTAGCTTTGGACAGCAACAGTTTCCTCATACACCACAGTAAATCATGGTGGTAAGGAGTAGCAAAATGCACCAACCAAATCTAGGCCTCTTGCAAAGTCATTTTGTTCGGCATCACATCAGCAAGAATCATTCAGCACACAACATTTTCTTCTTACAGGGTCCTATATTTTCCTTTCAAAACAAATTAGGAAAGAAAACTAAGGGGCATCAGAGTGCGTAATATAAGCGTCAATAAACATTTGCTATTACTTGTATGGTCCAGATAAATGTGGGATAAGAGATATGAGACTCTTCCCTGAGTACTGTAGTGGACTTGAATTGTGCTAAACGGGGACCAGTAAATAATATAGTAGCTCCAGTATGGATTATTTTATGTGGCTGAAAATTTGACAGGTAAATCTGAACTAAGGAGAAAGAGAGGAATAGCTGGGCACAACAGGATTCTAACAAAATGAAAGATATTCTAAATGAAAGAAGTGCAAATGGAATGAATATATTGTAACCATGGAGGAAAAAGTGGGGCTTATGAAGTGGCCAGAACTAGGACTGAATGATGTGTCAACAATTTTTTGCTTGGTTTTGTATTTTTGGAAACATCATTGGCCAAGGTAAAAAACCCCTCAAAATCTACAGCACCAAAAACAAACAAACAAAAAAAAAAGGATAAAAGAAAGTGAAGTGAGTCTCAAAGTGGAAAATTAACTCCACACCATGTGTGACAAGAGTCCTGCCTTTGTCTTAGACCCATTGAGTTTATGGACATGCCAGGCACATATATCAGCGCTTCCTAGTCAAGACCACTGTGTTCCTTTGTTCCATTACAGCACTGAACAATTAATATAAGGCAACTCCCCAGGGAGACTGGTGGCTACCCAGGTTAGATGCTTTTCTCTGTTACTCAGCTACTGAATATTAGAGAAAGGCAGCAGTTGGAAGTCAGTCTCAGCACTGCAGTTGCAGCAGTTGCTGGTCTAAGTGTGGAAGAGGTGATAGTTTTTTCCCTTCCTGACTGACACCAGAACCACCCGCATAAACTTAGCTAATGAAGCAGGGTGGAAAAAGAAAACTCTTACTCTAACTATGTGAGCTTCAGATAGGAGGCAGGCAGCAGAGGCTGAGCTGTTGTTTCCCAACTAAAGCCAGCATCCAGTTGTGGACCTCTTTTCTCTTCCTGTATTCCATTTCAAATTCAAAGCCAGCTTAGCTGAGGTTTAATCTATTTGACTGGTTGCTTGATCAGAACAGACATACCCATGAAGTCATCTCAGCCGGCAAAGGAGATAGACAAGCATCTAAGAGCGTTGCTCTAGCAATTAATTTGCAGTACATAAAAGATAAGATCTAGTTCATTTTGATATGCACTGTAGGTGTCACAGAGACTGCCTAGGAGAAGGATAGGATACTTTCTGGTATTGTGGGTTTGCTGAGGCTGAGCAACAAATTATGACCTGATGGTAGTTTCAGATTAGAGCAAAATCTAGATGTGCTCACAATCCATAAAATGGACAGATTTTTGTCATGCAAAAGAAAGAAAAGCTATTGAGGGCTTCCTAAAGGATAAGCATTCTTTCCTGAAACAAGGTAACATTCTTTGTGTTTGTGAGTCTAGCCTAACCAGGGATTTAAGTGTGCTAAAGGCACCAAAAGTGCTGGCTTTATGAATGTTGTATCTATGCATGTGAAGTGAATGTAGTGGTGTATATGCATGTGATGGTGTATATTTCTGTCTTACCCATATTCTTTGGTAACAATGTTAGAGCTGCTGGGGTGGCATGATTCCCCTGCAATGTCCATGCTGAAACTAATAGGTAGTGGAAAAATATATACTGCAGTCAGTTTATATGATTTTAGTTCCACTCAGTTACTGCCTACATCACATACTGTTTTTTTAGTTGTTGCTGCTGTGGCCAACTGTGAGTAACCTAAGAAGAGAAATTTTCTACTTTAGCACATCTTTCCACTGCACAGTCTCCTCTGACCGTGGCAGGTGGTGTTTAAACAATGGGCTATGCAGGCAGCAATATGCTCATGTGACTAAAAGGTACTTTCAGTAGTGTGGGATGTGAAAGAGAAATCAAGCAGAAGTAGTAAATTCAGGCCCTAAAGAGTCCTCCTTTGCAGTTTCACCTGTCTCAAACTGTTCCAAAGACAATAGTTGGAAGGGCTTAAAAATTCTTTGTTCTTTTTCAGCAACCCTTAGGATGCCTTTTGGGGAAAACTTTTCTTACTGTAGCCCTACAATGTCATAATCATGTTCACAGTTCCCAGGAAGGTTGAGTAGCTGTTTTGGAAGCTACATAGAAAGTTTTCATAAGGGAGAATCACTTTAGAAAACTGAGTCAAGGAAATAGTGTGCCTCAGAAATAATTAAAAAAGGACTAATAATATTTATTAAATAACTATGAAATTAAAATAAATAATGTAGTAAAATACAAAGTGAATAAATATAAACAAACAAGAAAAGAACTAAGCATGCATTCAACTGGTAATTCATGCAGAATGGAGAGATATCTGCTGAAGGTTCTTGATACTGCTTTAGATACTAGTAAATGGTAGTCTGACCCTCCTTGCAAGTCATTGATAGTGCTAACTGATATACTGTGAAATATTTTATGGATTTAGAGAGGACTATGGCTTAAAGACTATATAGCTTGATGAAATTACATGAATCTATTTACTTAAAATTAGAATCTTATACTGGCTGAACAGAGATGATTCAAAACCTAAAAATTGAACTAAGTTAATCATATCTGAATAAATCTTCATGGAGTGCTGCAGAGTATGTGCCTTGGATCTTGGAAGCAGATATATCATAGTCTGATTCCAACACATCTGTTAATATGGGTTTAGACTATACAATTCTACTTTTAACAGTGACAGATGGCCAACAAATAGCCAGCCTAGCAGCCAAAATATTGCTAGCTATGAAGATTTCCTAAGAGAGTCCTGGAGCAATTTGACTGTGAAGATTGTCCTCTCCTATAACACTTCATTTTCCCCCTTGATAAACAGTTAGAGACACAGGTTTAACATGAAATTAGGTACCGAGAGACAGCAGGAAAGGAGAAAGGGAGACTGAGACTACTTCAGTAGCTAGGATATGCTCAAACTAAATGGCTGTCTTAG